CTTCCTTCCTTCCTTCCTTCCTTCCTTCCTTCCTTCCTTCCTTCCTTTCTTTCTTTTTTGAGACAAGGTTTCTCCTTGTAGCTGTGAATGTACTGGAACTCTCTCTGTAGATCCTGCTGGCCTCGAACTTGCAGATTTGCCTGCCTCAGTCTCCTGAGCTCTGGGATTAAAGGCGTGCGCCACCACTGTCAAACAAAAAGTTTCTTATTCCACTGGAAAAAGACTTTTTGAAAATACCATATGAGTTTTTGCATATAGATGTGAGTTACAACAAAGGGGTTCGTGAGTGTGGTCCAGGGTTTGGGATACACTAACAGATCATTTGCACACACACACATACACCTGGAAAGTGGGACATAATTTGGCCACATTATAGATGGGGAAACAGGTTCAAAAAGTTCAAATTCAAGGTCACAGTTAGTGTTAGTTTGTCCGGGTTCCAAAGGCTCAGCAAGAGTGTCCCTGGGGTCGTTCTTTGGCCTGATCACCAGCTTTGACATTGAGGCTTTGATGTTTAGAACTTCATAATGTGCATGCATCGGTTTGGGCACTGGGGAGGATGGAGAGAGGAAATACCCACTTTCTCAGGCCCCTTTTCTCCTGTCCTTGGTCTTGGTCCTGTTCCTTGGCCGGATCTCCTTATGTTGTGGGCCAAGGAATCCCCATGGCTGGCGTGGGGTGTTAACAGTTTCGGAGTTTCCCTCTCCCAGGGGGGTGTTGACAGTTTCCTAGGAAACTCTGGAAACCTTCACCGCCTCCAAGACACAAAGGCGTGGAAGCAGAATGGAGAGACTGAAGGCATTGTCATAGGTGGTAGGTGGAAATCTGGAATCAAGACATAGAGTTCAACGCCTATCAATCCTCTTTCGGGCCCTTCCCCCATGCTCATGGGCTTTGTGGGGAGCCAGAACCCCTCAACTCAGGCTGGGAGAAGGGCGTCCCGGCAGTCCCGAGGCCTGCGGTCTGGTGGGGGTGGGGTATGTGACTCTGACTGAGGGACCTCAGGGTCACCGTGCCTGACTTTCCCTCTGACTGCCAGAACCCGAAGCGCCCCTCCCCCGCCCCGGTTCCACTCTGCTCAGTTTTTTACGCCCGCGCGGGAGCGCGCCCCGGCTGCGCCGCGCC